TTGTGTTTTGTTGTTTTTTTTTTTTTTTTTTTTTTTTTTGATTCTGTGTGAAAATAGTTGCCTGTGCAGAGAACAGGAAAAGTTTGAGGTATCTCAGCTCCGAGTTCTTCTAATTGCTGCTTGAATCCCAAGGCAGACCTTGTGCAAGCAGGGACACCATGGCAGCGTCGTGCCTATTTGCCTCCTTTCCCAGACAGTTAAGATCCCTGATAGGAGCCACATTGTCATCTAAAGACAAGTTAATCACACAGAGCAGGGGGAAATGGATTCATGGGGTTGGCTTGGCTAATCTTTCTAAAACATTGATTTGTAATAGCAGCCTCCTGAAAGATGAGAAATGCCCTTGGCTGCCTGGGTAGGCTGTGATGGAGCACTGACTCCTGCCCCAGGCGCTCAGGAGTGCCCAGAGGAGCACCAAGGGCCCTCGGGCCTCCAGCCCAAACGTGGACACCACAACCAGTCCTTTGGCCCCTGCCGCGAGTCTTTCTCTGCTCCCTGCCACACTAATAAAGCTGTGCGTTGATAAAACCCGAACTAGCCCCAGATTGCCCAGCCCGTTTCGGGTATATTTTATTTCCTGGCACTGACATTTCTACAGACCCATAAAAACCATCTGAGCTGCTGCAAATGGGGAGCAGATAGCACACCAGTACCCACCTTCTCTATCTAACTGGTCATGTCAGACCTGATGCTACTAGGAGAAACTAAAAGAGAAAGAAAAATGGTATCTAAAATCCACACGGTCCAGCTGAACCCATCCATCTCTTGGCGCTCTCAGCAGAGACACCAGTGCCTGGACCAGCACAGCGCTGAAGTTTTTGGTTGCACGTTTGCTGACCTGCTGCCTGCGTTGCAGGTGCTGGCCGTGCGGCAAGCGGAGCGGCAGGGCTACTGGCGAGCAGCTCGGAGCTGCTGCATGGGGCTCGCACATGTGCACAGTTAGGCCCAGTACTGGCAAATAATTCACTTCCAAACTGCAAAGCCAACTCACTTGGCTTCAGGCCCTACATGCAACAGCCCTGTCAGATACGACATGACGGGAGCACGAGCGCTGCCTGCAAAAGCTGTTTGTGCCAGGGTAACCGTGCAAGCAGAATGAGCCGTGGAGATAAACACCTACCTGCCCGCACGAATCCCTGCAGGCTCAGCCCTGGCAAACAACCAGCTGAGCAGGCGAACGACTGCGGTGCACAGCCCTGCTGAAGTCATTGCTCCGACTAGTTGGGAGGGGAAAGGTAGCTCCCAGTCCTTGAAAACGTGCCTGTCTCGGGGCTCCTCACCCAGCGAGCCAGGCCAGGCAGAGGGTGCTGCCGCCAGGGCCAGGCAGCGGAGGCGGCTGGACCAGAAGGAGGGCAGCGAGGGTCCTTTGGCTTCAGTTCCCCCACTGCCAAAGCAATGCCCTGTTTTTTGGCATGAATGAGAGCTGTAATACTGTTCGGAGTCAGGTGCTGTGCCCTCACCATGCGCGTTCAGCCCCTGTGATGCCAAATCTCCGCTACCAGGGATGTTGGCTTTGCAGCTCCATCCTCCTCCTTGGTATTCAGAGCAGTGGTGCATTTAAGTTCCCACCCTGCAGAGTGCTGAGCATCCCTCATTCTCCCTGGTTTCCACGGGTGCCCATCACGCTGTGCCTTTAGAGGACAACATATTTCCAGGCTGCTTCGCCATATTCCCATGGATTTTCAGAGCCTCCCTCCACCGAGAGGCTGGCTGGCCCAGTGAAATAGCAGCAGTTAACCAAAAACCAACCTGTATTGAATCAGCGATGGCTTTGCCTCTGCAGGTGTGTGCCCAGCTGTGCCAGAGACCATGCTACTGCCCCTGGGTGCCACCCCGCTGCCCCCGCGGCTCCCCCCTGGTCCTGGACGGCTGTGGCTGCTGTAAGATCTGCGCCCGGCGCCTGGGAGAGCCTTGCGACTTCCTCCACGTCTGTGACCAGAGCCAGGGCCTCGTCTGTGACTACAGCACAGCGCCCGCGGGGACAGGAGCCACCTGCAACTGTGAGCACAGGGGTGCCCGCTCCCCGCCGGGGCTGCCCCCATACCCCCAGCCCAGCACACACCCCAGCTCCGGCCATCCCTCACCGCTTTCAGGGTGAAAGCTGAGGCTGATGCAGGCAGCTTGGGCACGGGGCTGTGCTGCAGCTCCAGGCAGCTCTCCTCCCGTTTGCCAACTGGGGTTTCGGGGTGGTTTGAGTGGGGATGGACACGGGGGTCCCGAGGATGCTGAAGTCTGGGGGTCCTGCAGAGAAATTTCAGAGAAACTTGAAGATCCTGAAAGGCAGGATCAGAGCCACAGGGCAGGAGGTTTCTCAGCAACTGGTGAGCTGCCACTTTGAAAATACAGAGATGAGGAGAGGAGGTGGTGAGGAGGAGGAGGCTGGGCGGTGCACACCCTGCTGCGAACCCAGGTCTGCCCCACGCACCTCTCAGTCCCCTCTGCGGCCCCTGGTTCAGTCCCTCCGTGCCAGCCCCATGGTTGCCCCCAGCAGTCCCCTCTGCCATCCACATGGCACTTTGTCCCTCACAAACTCCCCGGCTGTTGCTTGCAGTTGAGGACGGTGAGGAGGGCTGCGAGGTGAACGGCCGAGTCTATCGAGATGGGGAGGTCTTCCAGCCCAGTTGCAAACTCCAGTGCCGCTGCCTGGACGGGGGCTTCACCTGCATCCCGCTCTGCCAGGAGGACGTCCGGCTGCCCACCGCGGACTGCCCCTACCCGCGGCGCGTGGATGTCCCAGGGAAGTGCTGCCCAGAGTGGATCTGCGAGGTTCGGGACCGCCACCTCCTCCGGGATGCTGGGGCAGGTAAGATGCAGGACATGCCAGCGAGGGGATGCCCACACAGGTCTCTGGGGATGGTCCCTTCGCCCCAGACCATGAACATCAACAGAAGACACCTCATTTCCCCACCACACAGGGCTGTGCCCGCAGCACCCGGAGGGCAGGCTGCACAGCGCCTGGCTCCAACCACCCTTTTTCCCCCCATCTCTTTCCATCCAGCTGCCGGGGCAGCGGCCCCGCTGCTGCCGTACCCCTGCCAGGAGTGGGGCACGGAGTGGAGCGCCTGCTCGGCCACCTGCGGCGTGGGTTTTTCTACCCGTGTCTCCAACCAGAACCGCTACTGCAGGCTGGAGACTCAGAGGCGGCTCTGCATGGCCAGACCCTGCCCAGCTCTGCCGGCAGCGTCCCGGGCGGTAAGTGAGGGCCTCGGTGAAGCTGGTGCCTCCGGGCAATAGGTTTGACTGAGAAAGGGAGATGCCAACCAGCACGAGCCATGGGACCCCCGGTTACCTGTGGGCACCCCATCACCCCTCCCCAGCCATGTGCTGACTGCGTCTCAGGGACAGATAAACCATCTCCTGAAACTGCGCTTGGAAAACAACTATCTGATGGCAGGTGCAGACTTGAATTTTTGAGGTCTCTGGATGTCTGAATCCAAGAGCACCAGGGACCCACATAACCCTGAGCCACACAGGTGGGCTCGACCTGCCTCTGTGGCTGGAGATGCATCTGCAGCTCCTGCCTGGCTCCCTGGGTCCGCCCGAGCAGCAGGGTTCTGCCACCCCTGTAACGCGCCTGGCACAGCCCCAGTGCAGGCATGGTGCAGAACTGCCTTGCTCGCATGCAGCCGGCACTTCCCAGGGCCGGGCACCTGCCCTGCCACATGCCCCTGCTCCCCAGACACGGGGGACACGCCACCACCCCACTCCCTCTCTCCATCACTCTCCGCTCTGCCTTTCCAGAGGGGAAGAGGAGGTCGTTTGTAGCCGTGCCCACCCTGGTTGCATCCCGGAGCTGACGCCTCATCCCGGCAAAGAGTCTGGCACAAGCCCACGGCACTCTGGTTTCGGTGGAGAAGGAGGACGCGTCCCTTGGGAAACTGGGGAAGAACTGATGGACTTTGACTGCAAAGGAGGGTGGAAACGGAGAACAAGATCCCCATGTCATGCAGTACCTGCCCCCTCGGTGCACCCCGCTGCCCAGGCAGGGTTACCAGGCAGCATCCCCGAGTTTCTTAGGCTGAATGTAATGGGAAATGGGGAAACCCTGCCATGAGCATGAATCCATCCAAGAAACTGGGAATTGGTCCTTTCCCAGATCAGTGGGGCTTTTGGAGGGGTGACGCTGCTCCGCCACCACATCACACACACAGCTCTGCTCTGTGGAGTCTGCGAGAGTGACCGGCTCCAGCATCGGGAAGCCCAAATCCCCAGCAGGACCCCTCAGGCCCTGGCCCCCCAGGGAAGGAGCAGGTACGTCAGACCACGGACCACAAGCCACCGCTGCGCTGGGCTGCGCAGCTCGACTGTGCACGAGCTCAGCCATCCCACGATATACACCCCGTGACCCGGCAGCCGCCTTCCTGGGCATGGGCAGAGGCGTCCTCCTGATGGCAGCTCTAATTCACCTTCCCCACATCTCTCCAGAATAAACACGAACCTTCCTGCTCCGCCTGGCCTCCTCCTCTCCAAAGCGCTGGTGGTTTGGCAGGGCTTCAGCGAGCGAGGAGCTCAGACACAGGAGACACCGCTCCACAGCACCAGACATACCGCCTGCCATCCAAGCACATACTCCGCGAGCCGAGGCCAAAAGAAAAGCAGGAAAAAGAGAAAACGAATCCCAAAGATGAGTTGGGGCCATCTCCCAACAGGCTGGAGCTGCTCCTGCTATGCAAGAGTCGGCGCAGGAGAGCTGTTCGGCAGCTCTGCCTTTACTTTCCCACAGCGATAATTCTCCTGGGTGATGGAAAAATGAAACCCGAATGCCCTCTAACGGCCTCGCGCAAGTGTGCAGAAGGAACGCACGTCCCACGGCAGGGTGAGAAGGGCGACTGGAAAGGAGCAGCGGTTTAGGTGACGTGTCCAGGCGAGACATGGACAGTTTAGATGTGTATTCATGGAACTGAAAATAAAGATGTGCTCATCTAGGTATGGAGCTTGTCTGGGCCTGTCTGTGCGGGGTGAGCCCGGCTCCGATGAGCCCTCAGCAGCCCCGCTGCTCATGGCGAGCCTGGCTGCTGCAGGAAAGGCCTGACCCAGGACGGGGCAGCTTGGAGGCACCTCAATTCAGGCTGCTTAGAATAAGAAAATAAAAAAAAAAAAAAAGTAAATCAAAGCACTGAAAACATTATTAGAGTATATTATATCCTGGATTAAATTCTGCCCCTTTGTTTTTACCCAGCCACGAGCTCCATCCGCTCCGTCGGTGGCACCCACCCTGGCTGTAGCAGTGCCCACGTCTCCACTCGCTGCCGGGGTGCGCAGGAGAGCCCGGCACGGCGCTGGCTGCGCTACCGCTGGGTCTGCAGCCCAGGCGCAGCCCCGGCCATGCCTCTCCTCAGCCTCCCAAAAACCAAAGCCCAGATTCTCCCGCTGTAACTCATCCCTCCTCCCGCCAGCCCCACACCTCCTCTGCTCACCCCAGACCAGGATTTCCCTGGCATCGTGCACCAGCTGACTGTCCTCCCGACCCAGGCCAACATGACACCAGGGCAGATTTAGGGGTGCAGGGGCAAAAGGTGGAATGGCAGAGGGAGCTCCTCTCCCCTGCCTGGGGCAAAGCCTCCCCACAAGCAGCAGGAAAGGCAGCGGGGCCGAGGCAGCCGCTCGCCCGCTCCCCCGGCCCCTGCAAGTCCTGGAAATAAAATTAAAAGTCAAGGATGTTTTTCAGTCACTTCTTGGGGCGGGGGGGAAAGAGAAAAAAAAAAATAAATCTCACTGCTCACACAGTAAAACATTGCTTACAAAGAGAATTATTTACTGTGATCATCTGGTGCTCTGCCTGAATACAAATCATTAATTCAGTGTGATCCAGGGGACGCAGCGAACCTCTGGCAGGCAGCAAATCGCAGAATGAACACACAGCTTTTGTTGGCTTTTTCACCTCTGCAATGGCCATGCCAAAAAAGGGGTGACACGAGGCTCATGTAGACTTTAAAACCACAATGTTCCTCGATTGACATGGATAAGACGTGTTCTGTGTACTGAAAAGCCTGGGTTTTAAGCCAGTTCTTGGTTCAGCATGTCAGGACACGGCCACCAAGGCCAGAGGAGCTGCCAGGGCTCTCACCCACCCCCAAATCCTGCCCAGCCGCCTCTAGGGGATGGGAAAAATCAAAAGGTCACTTTTTAAGCAGCAACCCGTAATTCTCATCTCCAACAGAAATGACTCAATGCACCTCTGCTATAATTTTCTTCCTTTTTTTTTTTCTGCAAAATGTCATTTCTCCCTGATTCACTAAGCAGAAAACATCTAAATAATGAATTAATGAATCCAAATAAATCCGAATTATTTTTCCCTAAGAATACAGGGAAATCAGCTCTTGCAATTTGATTGCCAGTCTCCCAGTATTTGCTGTTCCCTCTAAAGCATGCTCCCCTGGAAACACCTGGTTATTCGGGGACCACGTTTACTGCAGCCTCTGCTGCAGCAGGTCCTGGGCTTTGCCTGCGCTCGTGGGGCAGCAGCTCTCTGCCAGCCACAGGGGATTATGGCCACCTGTAAAGACAAAAAAACCCCAAAAGAGAAGACAACTCACCTCTGTCCTCAAGGCATAGGCCACATCTGCACACATAAACGGCACGTGATTTCACAACCGTATTCCCGAACCAGCGATGAGCGCCAGATCCCGGCCCGTTTCTGCGCAAGCACACACAGCAGCTGAAGGAGAAACCGCGCGGCTGCGCGAGTAAACCACGTGCGTCGGACCTTTTTTCCCAAGCCATTCTCATGACTGATGACTTCTAAAAAACATGGAGTTGGCTGAGAAAGGGCTGGATGAGCCCCTCATTAAAGCCAAACGTTGTCACATACCTCCCTGAGCACAGGAGTGCAGTGCTCAATAAAAAAAAAGTAGATCAAGGCCCTTTTTTTGCTGTTGGTGAAGAGCCTTGAATGGGTTGCCTGAAAGCCCATCACTCGGGGTAGGTGTTTGTGGCCGCAGGAGCCATCCCAGCCCTGTGCTCTCACGCTGCCCTGGATGCGCGGCCAGCCCCGCGCTCCCCATGTCCTGCTCCTCCCTCCCCATGGCCGGCGGCACCCAGCCCCAAGCCTTCAATCTGGGGACAGGGAAAGTTTTGCCTACGGTGCTGAGAGCAGCCTGTGACCCTTCCCATGATTACAGCAGTCCTTCCAGCCAGCTGCTGTCTCTGCCTCAGTTTCCCCAATGGTTGATGCTCTGGAGCAAAGGAGACCGCTCCCAGTTTGTTCTTCTCATCTCCCTGCACTTCCACACCTCCATAAAGTTGCTCTGCAAGTGCCACCCCAACCCCAGGCTGCAGGAGCAGCTGAAATGCACGGAGGCAAAGCGGGCAGGAGCAGGGCAGGACAGAGGACTGCTTTGCCGAGCCATGGGCCAAGCCCCACGGACCCCCTCCTCTGCTATTCCCGGAGCACTGTTCCACCAGAGCCTCTGCAAACCTCAGAAAAGCCATATCCTCGCCCCACGGAAAGAGCTTTTAAGCTTCACCTCTCGGGGCACACCTGCAGTGGCTGGATTTTGTCACATAGGTAGGAAATAACCCACAGCCTTGCCCATCATTGATCTGCTCCAGCCAATACTTTTTGGAGTCAACACGCTGATACTCACGATAAGCGGCTACTACCACCCCATGCCTTGGGCTTCCCTATGCTGGCCCGGACCTGCCGTACCCCAGGATGGTCCAGTGGGGATGTTTGGAGGAGGGAAGGGCAGTCAGGATGGCTCAGCAGGATTCGCCCCCGCCTCCGTGCCGGCTGGCAAACGAGATACCAGCCTTTTCCATTCCCTGCCCGAGATTAAGTTCCAGGCAAGCAGGCTGCCGTGGCCCTTCCCGAGCCCAGCCGTTTACCTGAAGTTGTTTTGCCAAGCTCATTTCCCTGCGGCTTGCCAGGGTAAACCTCCCTTCTGATTGCTTGTTTGCTCCTGCGCCTGCAGATAAGGTTATTTCTGGCCCCGTTTACACAGCTGCTCAGCAATGCAAACAGGGGCTGGCTTTTCTTGGGGGTCCTCTTCAGGGTCGCTGGTTTTAGCCCTTGCCCCAGCCTCACAGTGTCTGGGTGTCTTCTGCATGGCACCCCCCGCGACAGGGAAGGCAGGAGAGGAAGGTCACAGCCCGTCTCGTGTTTCCTCCCTGCATGGGTCAAAACTGCTCAAAGAAGGAGGGGGAAGAGGATTTTTTGGGGGGGGGGTCAGGCAGCCTGGCACCCCTGCGCCTGCTGGCACTGCCTGCGGCACCGGCTGCCCGCTGGAGCAGGGCTGGCAGAACGAGCCCCGTGAAAGCTGCCGATCTTTGCCTTCACCCCGCTCCCGGCAGGTCTGGATGGACGGCACGGTCCGAGCAGCAGGGCCAGGAGAAAGGGTGTCAGGAGTGGAAGTGAGGGGTGGCTCATGGGGTGCGGGCTTCCAGCCCCTGGTCTGGAGGGATGGGGGGTTTCTCCTCACCCCGAGTGGGATAGACCAGAAGCAGGAGCAGGCTGAAACCTTTGGCCCCTGTCTTCAGACAGCTCTCACCTGCTCCGAGGCAGAGCCCCCCTCCCTTCCTCCCGCTCCCACCAGGCACGCCTGGTGTCCGAAATAGCCGGGGCCCTGCACGTCCCTAGCGCCTGGCTCAAAATATCTCAAGTGGGCTGGCAGCAGGCGCCGAGGGAGCGGCGGAAGCTACCGGACACCGAGGCTCTGCGCTGAGGCTGCCCTCGCCACAACCTCCCCGCGCTCCGGGGGAAAGCCCTGTGTCCCAAACCCCCCAGCCGGGGCCCGGCAGCCCGGGAGGTGAGGGCAGCTGCAGCCTGCGCCAGGGAACGCCACGCTGCAGAGGCTGGCTCTGGGCACGGCACTGCCGGTGCCGTCCCGCCCCTGCCACGGGCAACAGGCACTGCTTCACCAGGCACCGGCTCCTCCGAGCACTGCCACGACCAGCACTGCCCTGGGAGCAGCCGTCCCACTGCGGGCAGGGCTGCCACACTGCCCGGTGGCCATGGAGGCTCTCACTCCGTGGCCTGGCAACGGCAGTGGAGCCCTGTGCCCCGTGGACACCACCTTTGCCCAGCGCTTCTTGCCCACGGTCTACCTGGTGGTGATCCCCCTGGGGCTGGCGGGGAATGGGCTGGGGCTGTGGCACCTCTGCACCGGGCGCCGGCGGGGTGCCCGCCATCCCCTCGGCCTGCTGGTGGGCAACCTGAGCCTGGCCGACCTGCTGTACGTCAGCACGCTGCCCTTCCTCGTCAGCTACTACCTGCAGGGCAGAGTGTGGCTCTTCGGGCAGGGCTGGTGCCGGATCACCCGGGGCCTCTTCCACCTCAACCTCTACGCCAGCATCGGCTTCCTCACCTGCATCAGCGTCCACCGCTACCTGGGCATTGTGCACCCGCTGAAGGCGCGGGGCAGGTGCCAGGGGGCAACCTCCTCGGCATGGCTCAGCACGTTGGTCTGGGTGTGGGTCATCGTGCAGGTAGCTCCCAGTTTCGCCTTCAGCAAGATGGACAACACAGGGACACGGTGCCACGACACGACAGGGCACGAAAACCTGGGTGTTTACTTGCCGTACACCGCAGCCATCACCATGACTGGGTTCGTCATCCCGTTCCTCATCATCATCGGATGCTACTGCCATGTGGTGGTGGTGCTTTGCAAGAATGATACTGTGGACCCCAACCTCAGGAGGAGAAGCATCAGACTGGTGATTCTCGTGATGGTCCTGTTCTCCATCTGCTTCCTCCCCTACCACATCTTCAGAAACCTCAACTTGTTGTCTCGAGGCTGGCAGCTGCAAGGGTCCTGCACACAGGCTTTAAAGAACATCTACGTTTCCTACCAGGTGACCCGGGGCCTGGCCAGCTTCAACAGTGCCCTCAACCCCCTGCTCTACGTGATGACCAGCGAAGACTGCATGTCACGTATGAGGACCATCCGCCAAAGAGCCAGCCAGTCTCTGCGGTCCACCTTCGGGAGGGAAACATCTTCCCAGGTGGATGAGAAGAAGGTGAGCATCATTGTTTGCGAGGAGGAGGCTTCTGATGAGTTCTGAGGTACCCAGCACCCCCTCCAAAGGATGAACCACTTCAGTTTGCGCTTGGCCCCTTCTCGGGAGCAGCCCCCCACCTTGACGCTTGCTTTGCAGAGAGGTGGTGACGGCAGCATCACTGGCTCCAGTCTCACACAAAGGACAGACAGGACTGCCGGCATCAGAGAGCAAACTGGGACCAGGCTTTGGAGCAAAGCTACTCAATCCAACCATTTCGCCTACAGTGTGCCTGGAGATGGAAAGAGATAAACGCCGTGTTTACTCCAGTCCTGAAATATTTCCCAGTCCAGCCTCCAGTGCAGCACTCGGAGCTGGTTGACATCCCCCTGGATCCCCAGCTGCTCCTCGAGCTCCCCAGTCAGCGAGGGATGGGGGTGAACGATGCCTTGTCCCACGCTGCATCCCCTCTCCCCCACTGGACACGGGCTTGAGACAGGATTCCCTCCTTCACCCAAGGAGAGGGTACCGGGAATTAACACCCTGCATCGCAGGACAGCTGAGAGGGTGAATATTTGCAGAGGGGAAGTGCTTTGGAAATGGAAATATTCATAAAAATATCAGGTTTTAAATATATGACTAATCTGTGCCAGTTCCTGGGCTAGTTGTTACTGGGTGACTGAGCTGTTTCAGGATCTGCGTTACCCTCTATTGCCTACCTCCTTCAGAGAAGAAAAAAGAATTTCAGCATTACTCAGTCTCTTCTGGAAGATCACGTAACAGCCAACAACAACTTGGCATTTTAAAGTTTCTGGAGGCTGTTGGTTGGATTTGGGTTTTTTTGCAAGGCTGCAGGCAAATCCCAGGAGAGTTTTGAAATCTTCAGGTGGGTGACTGCATCTCACTCTTTCATCCAGCCTTGCAAGGGGATTAGCCAGGTCTATTAAAAATCAGATATGCAAAAAAAAAAAAAAAAAAAAAAAAAAGAAAGAGAGAGGCAACGCCGGTTCGAAGGCTTGCAAAGGCAAGATTCGATGGTGAGGGCGGTCTGCGTGGCATTGCCGGCAGGGCTGTGGGAATCTCTGCTTCGGCGGGAGCAGAGGCTCCCGAGCGGCATTTTGGTTTCTGCTCTTGGTGTTCCCCACCGTGAACATCCTGAACGTTTTGGTCCTTGTGAAAGGAGCAATGTGATTTGCAACAGCAGATCTTGCAGCTCGGCTGAAGGAAGCAGATTGTGAGTTAAAATCAGCCGGTTGTGGGAAAATGCCGACCCACGGACGCTCTGTGCTCTTTGGACCAAAGCCGATATTTATCGCGGTCAGCTGCTCCTCGCACAGACCCACCTTTGCTCCTGCACGGAGGGAGCCGCGGCTGGCTTTCAGATGGAGTTAATATGTCTAAAGTGCAAATAAACACTTAATGCTTTCAGTCATGAGTCATCTGGCTTCTTTTAAAGCTTTATAGGAACACAGGAGCCAGCTGGCCTGCGGGTGATGAGTTTCCCGGGGCTCTGCGGACGGGGAGCTGCCGGGAGCACTGCCTGCCTGTGCGGCAAGGCTGCAGGCAGCCGGCGGAGAGCGGTGCTGGGCCAGGCGTGCTCTGAGGTAGGTCCCTGGAGTCTGCTCAGCACCAGGCAGGGGCCGGCAAAGCCCTGAAACTTTCAACTCCCACTTCATCCAGAGGAAATCCAAAGACAAAGCTTAAATTCCTAAATGAGATGTTCTTCTGTCTCTGCAGTAGGGAAGATCTTTGGGACATTGGGATCAGATCTGGCCTCTGCTCCTTGCATACACTCCCCGGATCTGGGCTTCTCCAGAGCTCTGAACTCTTCTCCTCCTTTCCTGAAAAAATACCCACGCCTCCAAAAGCTGTCCAGCTCTTCCATCTTCCCGCGTGGATCCCATCCAAGATGCTCCAGCTCCCCGCAGCCCAGAGGCACTGCAGCACCCTGTCACTGCACCCACTTTGTGCATGATTGATGGAAATAAAGCATCGCTGCATCCCCAGGGAGGGAGAGCTGCGCGGGCAGTGCTGGCAAACTGCTCTCACCCCTTGCATCGCTGTGCGCAGCTCCATCTTCTCCAGTGCCCCCTCATGTCACTGTTAATGATGATTTAAAGATCTGTATCCCGAGAAGAACCTCTGAGCCCCAGGGACAGTTGCAGCCATAAATCTGCTCATTTTTCTGTGTCCTGCAGCTGTCAAATCAGCAAAAGCCATTACAGATCTGTGCGTCGGGCTGATGCCCCTGAGATATGGGGGGTTTTTGGTGTCTCATGCTTTGCAGTCCCCTTGATTCTCAGACAATGCTGCTCCCCGCTGTGAACTGAAAGGATGAGCTCCTTCCCTTTAGTAGCTGTATGCGTAGTTAAGGGAAAACTGCTCGCACCTGAGCCTGCATGGCTGGCTTCGCAGCTGGCGAGGGAGCAGCAAAGCAGCCCACCTTCCTCAGCCCTCCCCGTCAAGGGAGGCTCCTTCCCCCGTGGAGAGCGGCCGCTGCGCCCTGTGGGTGCTGCAGGTGCATGGTCACCGCTGGGGACCCGCTCAAAACACGTGGGCCCCGCTCACCCCTCAAAACCTCCCCGCTGCTCTCTATCCCCTGGGAGCAGTGGGATTGTCCCTGGAGCAACCAGCGTGCACAGCTGTGCTGTGTCGCCGCTCAGGGCACGGGGAGGCAAGGACATGGTCCGTGTTTCAGCAGTGGATGAGGGACAGGGAAGGTGGGGAGCTGCCATATTTCCCCTTCCCCTTCTCCCAGCAGCTCTGCCAGCCGTTGGCAGGGCCATGCACAAGCATTTGCTGCTGGCAGGAGGGGTCAGTGCCCACCGCAGCTGCCGTGCCATGGTTGCATCCTGAACCAGGCATCAGCCTCGGTTCCTGGCTGGCACAAGCGCAGGGAGAAGACCTGAGCAGAAGCCCTGCGGCAGCGCCTGGGTCGGCACGCGCCCCTCGGGGGCTGGCTTCGAGCGAGGTCCTTTCCACGCTGCTGCAGAGACCTTCCAGCGCTGGCAGGTCCCTTTACACGGCTGCACACCCGCAAGGCGTGAGATGGCTCTGCAGGAAGAAATCAATTCATTTCACCTCTTTTGGGCTCCTGGCTTAAGACGATCTGAATGTTCCTCTTT